ATATGTAATTTAGTAATTATATATATATATATATATATATGTGTGTGTGTGTGTGTGTGTTTAATACTTAGATTTTTTTTATTTTAATTTTTTTATTTTTAGTAATTTTTATTCATTCTTTTGAATGTCTATATAGTTTTATTTTAGTTTTATTGAGATACTTTTATTGAGAATTATATATATATTTAATTAATTATTTATTTTATATATATATATAAGTTTTTTACTTTATTTTATTTTAAATTTTTAGTCAATTTTATTCATTCTTTTGAAGGTCTATATTGTTTTTATACATTTTATTTTGGCTTTAGTTTGTTATTTTAGTACATTAAGTTAAACTAAATAAAAACAAGAAACGTTGACTTGCAACTAGATGAAATTTCTATATTTATGAAACATCGATAGATCAAAAAAATCTTAAATATATGACGTACTAAAATATATATATATCTATTTTTTAACATTTTAAATAAAAAAAAAAAGCTTTTCGTCTTAGTAAACAATAATAACCCTAACCTGCACAAATGAAATTAATTAATACCACATTTCTATACAGAACAAATCCATACAATTGCAAAATAAATAACTGCATTAATTAAACAGGGTAAAATACTATAAAACACTAAATGCTACACTATAAAAGACATGTTTCATTCGATATACACATATATGTATTTTCAATTGGCCTGTGCTTATGAATTAGAGGTTTATTGATATATAATTCTGCTGATTATTGTGCCAATAAAAGTAAAATCTACATACTGAATTTTCAGAGCGAGTTTATATCCAATTAAACGCCACATAAAGTTCATTGCATCATCAAAATACCAATAATATCGAGAAAAAAGATTTCGTGCATAATTTGGGACTTTTAATCACAGACAAGCCTGAAATGCACAGGGACTCTTACTTTGAATTTAAGATGTCTCACAGTGCTGAGAGTTTTGTTATGGCATTTAAAGCCTTATGTTTGATTCAAACGCCTCTTTTGAGACTCTTTTGTGTGACGTGGCTCGCTGGTTACCACAGAGGCGATGACGGACGCGGTGGCGGCGATCTCGTAGTAAGTGCTCCACTGAGACGTCTGCGTGGCCGAGTTGAAGAAGAAGGTCTGCAGGACGTACTTTCTGAAGGCCACGTTATACGGCCGCCGCCAGCTGAGGATGACAGCGCTGGGACTGAGCGGATAAACAACCAGATCACGCACACCTGTCGGCTCTGACACACCAGCAGCCAATCACAGAGCACGGTCAGTCAGGGGGCGGAGCTTCATCACGCATGCTCATTATATATGCACTCACTCACTCACCGATGTCGATGATGATTGGTTCAGACGGGGGACTAACCAGCGGCCCGTTCGTGTGATAAACCAGCACTCTGTACTGAGCGCCGGGGGTCAGGCTGCTGATGATGTCACTGGTGATGTTCTCCTATCAGAGAGCGGAGAGTGGGTCACATGACAACGAAACACTTTTACAGCTAAACCACTGACATTAAACTTCTGGTGAGGGTTCGATGGATTTCCATCAAAATAAAAGTTTGATGGTTTCAATTAGTATTGTAATATAACAGTAATGCAAAATAAAATGATCATTTTTTTTTAAATACTCAATTTTTTTTACAGTGAAATATTACGATAGCAATATTTATTGTATTATTTTTATTTAGAAATGCATATACTGTATGTATATATATTTTTTTTTTGTAATATATTTTTATGGAAGAAAAATAATGCCATATGTCTTTGAAACAAAAAAAACGTTGAATAGCACTAACTGAAAAAAAAAATGCATTGCATTAACAGTGCTTGCATTTTTAGGTCCTGAAATTTAACATAGTTGTTTATTAAAGCTGTGAATATTTCAATTCAATAATTGAATTCGTAATTAAAAATTCAGTAATTCATATTCACCTTCCAGAATTCACTTCCAAAATATTCAATCTGTTTAAAAATACGATGTATAATATTCGACAGGCAAATTTCGGTCCATTTTTTTATTTGACTTTTCAAATTCACTTCCACAAATTCAGTCGTTAAAATTCGACAGAAAATTCGTGGAGCTGCAGGAATAGCAGTAGAGCACCGATGCATGATCTGCAGCTGCTGTCAGTCGCTCACCAGCAGGTGGCGTCAGCGGATGTTCATGAAGACCAAAGCAACAGGTGGATTGAGTCATTCATTCACAAAAACTGATCTGCAGAAATGCAGCAAGCGCTAAGTAGAAGTTTTGATTATCGGGGCCAGTATAAACATGTGGTAAAGCTGATTGTGTGTATGTTTAATTCAACGTCATCGCTGTTTCCCGTAGCCTACATGTATGCAGCTTCCTCTAAATAAAATGGTTTTGTTGACGCTGATAGAGTTGAAGTGGTATCAGTCTGCAGTGTTCTGATCGCCTGAATGAACTGGTGAAATCTGCATATTTGACATACAACATCAGGTGAGTGATCAGTACCTCGGAGCAGTAGGTGTTCTCCATGCGCTGGCTGATGCTGGGCCGCAGACAGGTGAGCGACAGCACCGAGATCAGACTGCTGTTATATCTGTGACGAGACGGAGCCCAGGACACAGCAGCCGTGCTGCAGTCCAGCATCTTCACACTGACCTCCTGCGGACGCTCCTGCGGCTGCTCCATCCACTCACCCGCCGGACCTGACACACACACACACACACACAAACACCTGAACACACACACACACACACACACACACACGAACACACCTAAATGCACACACA